GTAGCAAAGTATTAATAGTAAATTGAATTTCTAAAACAGTGATTGTCAGAATAAGTAATTACTTAGCATAATGAACAGGAAAATTTTAAGAAGAATTTCAATTCTACATGAGGCACATTTCATAATTTCTATGCCTTATAAAGTTTTTTATCCTTATTACTTTTTAATCTTTGCTTCAAAATTATATGAATCTGCTTTTGCAGGCCTACAGGAGAGATATGACACGTTAATGCATGTGTTTACACTTCATAATTTTATAGAACTATTCTGTTACTCATCTAAATCAGGGACTTTGTAATTCTTGGTACATTTGCCTCGAGCAGTTGTGCCAAAAGAGAAACTTAAAGTTGAAGATATTATTCTGTTTGGTCAATTATTTAATCCCTGGGATTGTGACTATTGCCTGAAAAACATTTGTCACAAATCAAAAGTTCTGAATGCACTCTGTTGGTGAATAAACAGTATCTATTAGACTGGTGTTGGGTAGTTCTGTGGCAAAATGTATTTCTACTTTTTTTCTTTAAAAACACTGTTTTAATTTTTCAATTACAGCTGACATTCAATATTATATCAGTTTCTGGTATACAGCATAGTGGTTAAACATAAGGCCCAAACTAAAAAGGGGGCTCAATACACCAGGCCCGCACATGTGAACCTGACTGGTTAGTGCTGGAGGCTTAGCCACCTGATGCAAGCCAGGCCAATCAGTTGCTCTCTCATGAGCACTTTTAACATTATATTTCAAAATAATTTCTGAGTTAAAAAAAAGGCTGAAAAGGAATACTCATATGTCCTTCACCCTGGTACTTCATTTCCTGACACTTCAAGGGACCACATGAGGAGGAAATGACATACTCTTAAACTTCTCCATGGCAGCCTGGCCACTCTGCCTTCTCTGTCTGAAGGTTCAATTCTTTGACTTCTCCTTGTATTGAAAGAATTTTTCTTTCTTTTGAGATGTGTTGGTTATTAAAATGTGATCCTCACAGCATAGGCTGTGAAGGAAAACAGTGCTAGCTGCTGAGCTCATACGCCCATCATTACATTTGAAGGAGGTCACATTTCCCGTGAGCTTCTCCAGACAATGACTGAGTGCTGCAGGAAAACTAAGGCAGGTGCATTTCAGGAGGGCACACGTCTTGTCTGACAGGTGACTCTGACTTGAGGTTACCCCAGTGGCATTTGCTAACCTGTGAAGAATTGCATTATAGAGTGGGATGATAATTTTCCACCAAAACCATTTTTTGCTTTCTCTACTTAATTCAAGGTGAAGTTTACATCAATGTATGACAGCTCATCCAGCCTCCTTCTTGTCCATTTTTGTTTTCTTCTTGTAGCAAATGTTACATAGTCCCTTGTTGGCTGGTTGTCTATTTTGCCCCAGGGATGTCATGCTCTATTCACCACATGCAAAACTACTTGCACACTAAGATCTCTTGCTTGCCCTTTAGACTTTGTTGGTTCTTATGATTTTAGTAATTAACCACCACTATTTGACTTCTATTATGTCAAGGCTTCCTCATATGCATGGATATTCATGAGCCTGACTCTATGACTGCATCTCTTACTGTTGTTCCTGGTCAGCAGAGAAAACCACTTCTCAACTCCTTAGTGATGCTTGTTATGATTTGTACAGCCCATTCCTAATGGCCTTGGTGAATGGTGTGGGCCTCTCATGGAACACACCTTTAGGTGGGTCTTTTGGCCTTATATAATTTATCTGTTCCCCATGCTTATTTTCCTCAGAGGCTTTATTCTGTTGGTAGAAGAATGATTCATAAAAGGAGTGGAACTATGAATACAGTGCAGACTAAAAGCAAAAGGGGAAGGCATGTGGTATTTCAGAGTGGAAAACAGCATGATTCATCTTGAAGATAATGGTTGTATGAGAGGAGTGATGAGAACACAAGCCTTGGATGCAAACCTGAGTAATGCAGAAAATGAGAAAGTAATTTACCTCAAGGTTGGGAGATTTCATTAGGTCCAGCCTTCTAAAGGAAATATTTTAATTCATTTTTTCCATATATAGACCAGATGGCAATATACTAGATGGATCAAACAAAGAGAACAGTCAGAGAATACGACAGATGCACATAATGATATAATCAGGAATCACATAGTGTGTGGAAAAAATATAATGCACACAATGGTATGCCTTCACATACACACAGCTTTCTTTCTTGTCACTCTCTTTTATTTCTACCTGTGACTAATGGAATGAGTCAGATCCTTAAGACTCTCCTATTAGAATCCTTCTAATGGTACTTTCTTGGGCTACTGAGATTTATTAGAATGTTAATTAAATAATTTTACCTCAAGCTTGTTCTACATATTAAGCCAAGCACTACTTTACTCCTGTGGGAGAGAGGGAGTGGGCAGGGCAGCAGAGAGCAATGGGGGAAAAATTGGGAGCAACTGTAACTGAACAATAATGAAAATATTTAAAAAGCAAGCAAGAAAGAATTATACAAAGTAACATGTCTACATAGTATCTTGGAAATTTTGTAGAACACCAATATAATTCAAGCTAAATAAAATGATCCACGTTTTTGCTTGCACTTTATGAGAGTCTCCAAATATAATTAAGAATATTGCTCCTTTGCCAACATCTTGTTCTCTTCCTCACTTCTAGCTAGAGGTCTCCGTACATACCTAATGTGTTTTTGCTTGTTTTTAGAGATTCTGCTAGGAGCACACTTTGCAATGTTGTAGCTCTTTAAGCATCTCAAAGTAAAAGTCCCTCCACTTTAATATTTTACATGTTTTATCTTTCTGAAGCTCTAAGAAGCTAAGAGGCAGGTAGAACTAGCAGAATTATATGTGGGAGACATATAATATTCAGGAAGCAGAACTAAATTTATAAGTCAAATCTAATCAGTTCCACTATAAAATACTATTGTTCAAGCAAAAGATGTTCCTTAAGCAACTAATATAAATATTTTTATCTAAATTCACTTAGAAAAATCTGATAGAAAAAACAAAAAAATGTCATAAAAGATTTTGTTTTCATATTTTTCAATGCTATGTCCAGATAGGACCTATAAATTTAAAACTCAGGAGAATATTCTCCCATGAAAATAAAATGATGACTCAGTGTTTCTTACATTCTTCCACAGAGTTACTTCCAATACTATTACTCTACATTTCCCTTTGGAATCACTTCAACTCAGATAGTTATTCAAACAAGGGGTATAATTTTGTATTATAAACTACTACAAAGTCTAGTGTATGATTTTATAATTTGTTTATGTCGTTACTTCACACATTTGCCTTTAAGCTTCTTGAGTGCAAGGAATACATTTTTACTTTCATTTTTCTATTGCTTTTCACAAGGTCAAACATAAGATAGACCCCCAGTCACTGGTGTGCTGGAAAACCGTATCTCTGATAGCAAACAAAAATAAAACACAAGTGTCCTCTTCACAATGTTTATCAGTTCTCATGGTATGTATAATGACAATTTCAGCTGCCATTATGGCATCACTGAACACAGAGCTGAGATGAAAATACACACCATGGATTCTTGCAAGCTGGAGTGAGCGCCACCACTCTGCTGCCCCAGTGTTTGTGAGATATATAAAGCATCCCTCCTATTGATTAATTTTCCAACTGCAAAAAAATTGATCTGACTTCCACTGAGTTTCTATTTCCATTTTTTCTCAGTTTTTCTACAATTTTACTGAGCTGAGTTTTAAGTTTCTGCCTCCTTCTCAAATTGATAAAGTTCCTGTGAGTATCATACAGTTACTGTACTACTGTGAGCATAGTAAGCTCTTTCCAGGAGTCTAATGGCTTATGTCTAGCTATGTATAACTGTTTATTGGCTGAACACCATGAATTCTTTACTTTGGTTCTTTGATTGCTTAAGAGAGCCATGCAGGCTCTTTATGGCATCTCTGATATTTATGGAAAATAAATGAATGTGTTTATATGCAATTTTCCTGTGGAGAAGGGTTAATGAGCTTTATTAAATTCCAAGGATGATTGTGCAGAAAATGGTTATGAGTCTGTACCCCTGACTTCCTTATATTCTATTACTACATGATCCTTTTCATCCTACAGAGTCCCCATTTCCTGTGGTGAATTATCAAATGTCCCCATTCCTTGTAGCTTTAACTATTGACTATCAAGTACTAGATACAGATCTATGGTTTACTCTTTGACATATCCATATCTACTTTTTGTAATATTAATAAATAAGAAAGCAAACAAAAGTTTACTCTAAGGAAGCCATTATGACGATTTAAAACCACAACATACGGAAATAAAAATTTAGTCTTTGCTTTTGACTACACAATGTATTTTCTAGATGCTTTTGGTGGAGTATGCAATACATTAGTAAAGAGTATAGTGTCTAAGATACAGAAAGCCTGAATTCAAATGAATACTGCTCTGTTAAATATCTGGCCTTTGATGAATAAATAGGTCTCTAGGCTTTAGTGTCTTCAAGTCTAAGACAATTAATAGTTCCACTGAGTTGTTTTGAAGAATAAATTGAATATATCTCAGAAACAGTTAATAGGATACCTAATATAAAATAAACAATCAATAAATGTTAATTACTATGAATATTATTTTTGTTATTTCATTATTGCATTTTTTAATTTTTTTAAAAGATTTTATTTATTTATTTTTAGAGAGGGAAGGGAGGGAGAAAGAGAGAGAGAGAGAGACATCAATGTGCAGTTGCTGGGGGCCGGGGCCTACAACCCAGGCATGTGCCCTGACTGAGAATCGAACCTGCGACACTTTGGTTCCCAGCCCGCGCTCAATCCACTGAGCTATGCTAGCCAGGGTGCATTTTTGTTTTTATTCTTGTTGGACTACAAAGTTCATGAGGTATGTTATACATATATTTCCCAATTGAAAATACAAAAATGCTTACCAATTGTTTGCTGAACAAATGAGCAAAATGAGAAAAATTATCTAATAGGCAGTCTCTTAACAGTGTTGCCTTTCTAGAGTAAAAGTAAGTTTTATCAGGTTTTTCTCCAAATTAATCACCTCTGCTTAGTTGCAAGGAGAAGACTGAGGATAGCCTTGCGAATCTGTTTTGTTTTTACACTATAGATGATGGGGTTGAGCACAGGGGGCAAAAGCAGGTATATATTGGCCATCATTGAATGGATCACTTTGGGGGCTGATTGGCCATAGCGATGCACCAAGGACAAGCTCATCATGGGGATGTAGAAAATAGCTACTGCTCCAATGTGGGACATGCAAGTACTGAAGACCTTGTGTCGTTCTTTGGGAGAGGCCATACTCAGCACAGAGCGAATGATCAAGATATAAGAGAGGACAATGCATGGTGTATCCACCCCCTGTGGTCAGGATGAGATCAATTAATCCACAGATGCTGTTGGCCCGAGTATCTGAACATGCTAATTTAATCACATCTGGATGGTAACAGTAAGAATGGGAAAGGACATTTGCTCTACAGAAATACAGGGGCTTAAGGAGCAAGAGTAGTGGTGCTATTAATACTACACTACGTATAATCATTAAGGTGCCCATCTGAATAATCCTGAAATTAGTGAGAATAGTAGTATACCTTAGGGGGTCACAGATTGCCACATAGCGGTCAAAGGCCATAGCCACTAGCACCCCAGATTCCATGACAGTAAATCCATGAAGAAAAAACATTTGGGTTATGCAGCTATCTAAACTGATTTCTCTTGCATTAAACCAAAGTATAGCTAATGTTGTAGACATTGTAGACACAGTCAAGCCCAGGTCAGTAGCTGATAACATGGAGAGGAAATAGTACATGGGCTCATGGAGACTCTGGTGGGTAATGATGACAAACAGGATCATGCTGTTCCCAGAGAGAGCAATGGCATAAAGACAGCAGAAGGGAATGGAGATCCAGGCGTGAGCAGACTCCAGGCCAGGAATGCCAGCCAACAAGAAATTTGGAAATGTAGATGTCAAGTTACTTAAGATCTCCATGTTTTGTAGATTTGTAGCCTTTGTTCTTACAATGCTCTCATCCTGTGGAAATAAGAAATTACATGGTTACACAAAATATCTAGGTAAATTTTCTTTGGGTTAGGAGAGGTTTCTAAGTTCATAAATAACTTTCTTTAATTGAGAAAACTCTAAATTAAACTTTGACATTCATCTGCATTCATATCAGGTATATTTAGCTATATACATAAACATTTTAATTCTTCAATTCAAGGAAAGTATGTCTGTATAACTTTAAACATTTTGTTGATAGTTTTCTCTATTAACATAATAAAGCTCCATTAGATTATAAGATTCTATGAATGAAGACTTTGTTAAGAAATGTAATTATATTTAATTTTAAATATCCTGTATGAAGTTACTAAGGGAAATCCACCTAAATATATCCTTGTGTCTGCAGTGCCCATGTTGGTGTGAAAATCCAGGAAAAAATCTCCAGATTTATGCTGGAGACAAAAAAAAAACCCTCAGATTTTTGCTCCTTAGATATTTGGAAGTTGTAAATCATTTTAACCTAAGAGTGTGGGTGAACAACCTCAGAAAATGGACTTACAAGTGAAAACCAATGAGGATACAGTCCTGCAGGGTCTAGACACTTTACAAGAACTGTAAAACTGAAGAAAGCATGGTGGTGACTCAGTGTTAAAGGAACAATAATGAGGAATTGCTTATGAGGTCAAGTCTACTAAAGGCTGAAATTTTTAAATGAGAGCCCATGTAATAGCTGCATTAATGACCTTGAAGAAAAGCAATTAAGGTCCACAGTGAAGCTGAGAACCTGCTACAGTAGCATGAGGAATAAATGGAAAAACAAATAGTGGAGGCACAGTGTTTATATTTCTAGAGACTTGTCAGTGAAAGCAAGGAGAAAGACCATTGACTGAAAAAACCTCTAATGTGGATGGAGAATTTTTGCAAGATTATAAAGACTTAGATAAATTTCTGTGTTTATAACCTGAGGTTAAAAGTATAGTAAATAATGAGAGTTTGAAAATATACAATGATAGGGATTCATTGATATAGAAAATTCCTTAAGGAAGTAGCAGGTGTTTGATTTAGAGCATGACAGCAATTAGCCCTTAAATAGATGACAAATGCAATAGTTTTGACTATTCTAAATATCTCATACAATTGGAGTAATGCAGTATTTGTTTTTCTGGTGATAACTTATTTTCCTTACCATAATGCCCTCATGGTTCATTCATGCTGTAGAATGTGTGAGAATTTCCTTCCTTTTTAACCAGTGCCCATTTATTTTTTGCTCTGCATGAGTTATTAAAGTGGTATTCACTGCTGTTTCAGGAGCATGAAGTGATGGATGCTAGTTCGAAGATCAGGTAGAGGTTCTCAGTAGATACTGCAGAGAAAAGGAGAGGCAGTGGGATACACACAGAATGCTAAATACACACAGAATGTTAAAATTCTATAAAGTCTTGTTAAATTAAAATTTAAAAAACAATATTTAAATGAACACATTTACATTATTAAAATCAATTTTAGGAAGACAAAATCAAATAATAGCAATATTAAATATTATTATATTAATATTTTTCAGTTAAACATTTAAAAATTCTAGGTGAAGTTTACTTCCTGAGACTAAATACCCTGTAATAAGTATACATGTTACCATCCCCTTTATGCAAGTTTCTACAGTTACATTTTTTTAGTTTAATACATATTATTTATTGACTATATATTCTGTGCCAGACACAAGTGAGATATAAAAATGGACAAAGTTATTTTTTTTTATGCTTCAGGAACTTACAGGTTTTATGGTATAGTGGTATGGGAATTGTTAGTCATGAAATAATATGGTATAAGCTATTTAATTTTAATTTTAATCTCATTACAGTTGGTTTTTACTCTCAAGTTCCTAAGGTTTTCATTCAATCTGAGAAAAACCATTACAATAGTTAACCGTAGTCTAATAGGGTTCAGAAGTTTGTGTGTTATGCAGATTCCTGAGGATAGGGTTGACCATAACATTACCTGACTTTTCTACAAGCTCACATGAATATTTGTGAGTAGGTAACCGTCAAAACGCAAAGTTTACACAATGAACACCCTTCTCTACCTTCTTACCAGCTTAGTGTGGAAAGGGGAGCCTTTTTTGTCTTCAGTAGCAGAGAGGAAACAAGTTACAGTTCTGGAAACAAGGACTTTATAGTCAAGTGGGATTGAGCTGTGGGACCATTGGCAAAATGAGACTCTCCCTGGGGCCACACACAGAATTCTCTCCATCTGTTAATACAGGACTTTGCTGTGTAGTTTCAAAAGGGTTTTAGCAACTAACTCAAGTGACAAGTGTTCCATGGGACCCTTAAATGCAAATAAACCAAATCATCCATATAAGTGGGTATTTAGACATTGCTCTATCACTGGGGAATAAAAAGATGCAAACCAGTCTCTAAGGCCCTGTTTCTTTATGACTGTATTGATCCATAGGGAGAATGATATATTCACTCGTGAATCTATCTGTGTCCAGCCACTCACTGGCTTTTACCCAAGAAATGGGGTGGCTACTGATACAGAAATTGGGTCCCATTTTGCTAGTGGCTGGGGTCACTGTGTGTGAATAATGAGTTCTCATGTAAATGTATTCTTACTCTGGCACTTGCTGTTTTTCTGTGGTAATAAGTCGAAGGACCTAGACTATTGGGAGAATTTGTCCACTTTTGTCAATGTGGGCAGTTGAGTAGGGATGCAGATTACTTTATAGGCCTAGCAATTCTAGATTCGTAGGTGAGGGAAAGACCAACACCAACCATTATGTTGACCTGTTTATTCCTTCCAGTGTATTATTTATTTCAGATATTGCATTTTTATGGTTTCTATATCTTTTATCATGCTGTTGAGCATCTTTATAATCATTGCTCTAAACTCTGTATCTGATAAATTGCTTGCCTCCATTTCATTTAGTTCTTCTGTATAATTTTTTTTGTTCTTTCATCTAGGTCCTCTTTCTTTGTCTTCCCATTTTGGCTGCCTCTTTGATTTGTTTCTATGTATTAGGTAGATCTATAAAGGCTCTGATTGAGATCTATATCAGATGCTGCCTGTGACTGGCCCTGGACATCCTGTTTGGAGTTATCAGAGATCTACAGCTTGTGGATTCCTCTGCTGGGGCTGGGTATTTGCAGAAATAACCAGGCTGTGCACCAAGGCTGGCTTTTACCAGTACTGGGCCCAATGGAAGGTCAGCTAAAGTCTCAGAACTCCCAGAGGTCTTTCTTAGTTGTTAGGCTTAATCACTGATGTAGACTCCAGCTGTACTCAGCAGCCTGGCTTATACTCCGCTGGGTGGGGCTAGTGGGATTCCTGTGGGTGGGGCTATTGCTTTCTGTCAGGCTAATGCTACTTGGAGGGGAGTGCTCTGCCAGAGAAAGGTGGCTTCTGAAGTATAGGGAATGACTTAGCACAGGGATCTTGGTGGCTGATGCTTCAGCTCTCTTCCCTGTATCACCAACCCTAGACTCTCCTTATGTGACTCTAATCTGCTCTATCTTCCCTCTGCTGGAATCCAGGGCAAATGGTTGCAAATTAAATTTCTTTGTGTTGGCCCATTGAGAGGCTCTCTGCATCTCTAGCTGTCCCTCCCTGGCAGACAGAAACCCTACTGTTTTTTACCACCAGGTATTATTTGGGTTCCTTTCCTGATTCTAGTGGTCTATGCTGGAAAGCCCACCTTGGGGTTTATACCCCACACTTCTCAGGAGGATCCCCCTCTTTAGCCACTGAAATTCCAGCACTTCAGCTGCCACCAGTGCAAAACCAGTCAGCCCTCTTGGCCTCTTCTGTACTCCTACCAGTTTCATTTTGATGAAGTTGTTTCTTCTATAAGCCCTTGGTTATATAAGGCTTCTCTCCAGATAGATTTCATGCTTATTCAGGATGATGTTTCTTTAATTTAGTTGTAATTCCCAGTTAGATCCTAAGAAGAGGTTAGTGTAGCTTCCACTTGCTCCTCTGACATTTTGGGTCTCATGACTATTTCTTCAGTAGCTGCTATTTAAAGCATTGCTATTGCCAATGAATCAATAACTCAATAATGCAGTTCAGTTTCATGTACTCTTTTGCCTTGTGAAAATTAGAGTGCTTGAGAAACCAAAAAATGATTTATTATCTTTTTAAAATCCTACACAAGACCTTTTTAGAATATAGTATCCCTCATTCACCTATTTGTTCATATAACAAATATTTAAGCACTTACTCTATTCCAGGCTGCTAAGTATTGGATATGCAGCAATAAGAATGATTTGGTGGCTGCCTTAAAAAATTCTCTACCAGTAGAAAGACATTAAAAAACATGGCTGTTGAGGATTAGTAAGACAAAAATACACATAAAAGTATAACTATTGGCAAAAATTACTAAATGAAGGCATGACCCTCTCCCATGTGGATTCAAAAACACCAGCTTCAAAAATAAGTTTTATTGGTAATTCAAGACACCATCCCAATTGATACAGTGTCTATGCCAACACATTATGGACTTCTCTCTCTCTTTTCCAGAACAACATTAACTCTTCTGCAACAACTCTTCCCCTCCTGACATCTTGCTTACACCTTTCTGCTGCAGTGACCATGCACATAATTACTGCTGTTTCTGGTGGTAAGAGAACTTTTGTTGCAGATCTGGTTTACAACATCCACTGAGCCTTTCTACTGCCTTTTCTACTGGAAAACAATTAAGTGGAGGCCTGTCTCAATCCCCTTCCCACTGGCCTTGATCCTCTTTTAAAACATGAAGTTTAAAATGAGGCTGTCACATTTAAGAAACAAATTTGCACAAATCTCTATTTTAATATTATTATTATTTTATTTTTCAATTATAGTTTACATTCAATATTATTGTGTATTTGTTTCAGCATAATGGTTAGACAATCATATACTGTATATTTTGGACCATAAGACACACCTAGGTTTTAGAGGAGGAAAATAAGAAAAAAAATTTGAAGCAAAAATTGTGGTAAAATACTTAAAAACAT